CAGTTACAACATTTTTATTAGATTGTTTTGTATACATGGCCTAAGAATGTTTGTTTCATACAAAGCTTAATTATTGCACTTACTGCTGCATTAGCATAGGTTCGATAGTGAGGTGGCATTCCGATTTAGGACAAATTCTGGTTACGTCACCTCCGTAGATACAGAACTAGATCATCAACCAAGCACCAGTAACACATGCTAATGGCTATATTCTGGTGTGTGGAGGAGGATTACAAAAAGACACGAGGTGGGGTGGATGCTTCTGTTGACATCATCGTGACTCAAACCCCTTTTTTGACATCGCAATTTCATGACGTAGGCACCACCCTGTAAGAAAAGTTTCATACAAGCCCAAATACGATATATTTGAAAAGGTCAGTGTTAATCATGAGGCTGATCCACAAGCCATTGAACCAGGAAAGGACACCATATTAAATATCCCCAAAAAGGGAGTGAGAGGGTGTTTGGGGGACTCTGAGCTCCCCCAGCATTGTGAAGTGAGCCCTCAGTAGAGTATTATCAACACAAAGGCTGGTGATGGACACTGACTGGCGAGAATCACATAGCCGGGGAGATTACGTGAAAAGCTGCACGGTGCTCAGCTCCTATTGTGAGTGGGCGAATCTCAGCGGTCTGTTGACTCAGCTGAACAGAGGCCAGACTATTACTTGCATGTCTATTTCTGCTTTACTTTTTCTTTATTGAAAATTACTGAGACAAAGTGAAGGGTCTTATTGCTCATTTCAAAAATGAGCAATGCTATTCATCCATCCATTCATTTTCTAATCCACTTTATCCTCACAAGGGTCACGGGCATGCTGCAGCCTATCCCAGCTGTCTTCGAGCAGTAGGTCTGCAATACCATTTATTTAATGACCAAGAATGGATTGTGAATAGCATGTAGGACATTGCACTGAACATATGCTTGTGTTCATTCCACACCTCGGGTGTTAATTTTAACACAGGGAAAGTGTCTATGCATCCACACTTACTGGTGTTAAAGTAATATACACAAAAATGTTCAGCACACAATCGGGTGTTACAGCAACAAAATGTAGTGTTTACAGTGCAGTAATAATGACATTTCTGAGTGTTTAAATTAACACTAATGAGTGACACTATACAGTGTGGGGGGGAAGGGGGAATAAACCATGCTTCACTACCTGAAATAAAACACAGGATTTCAATTCAAAACTATTTTCTTTTGTTAAATCCATTTCAGATAGCTCATACAATGCAGCAGTTGCACACAATGTATGTTCTTTCATAATTTTCATGGGAAAACTGCACATCATGTCGTAAGTACAATCAGGTCAGACACACCAAAATCTGTGAACAAATCCCCCTCAACGCTAAGTAGATTCAGGTAATGATCAAAACTCAGAGTAATAAAACTGGTGTTCAAAAGAAATGTTTTATTGTCATGATGATGTTAACAATTTTCATGAAAGTAGGCAATTCATTTTTAGTACTCACACATACAAACATTCCATTCGGGAATTCAGTTCCATAGTTTTTAACTCAGGCAGTAGTGGCCATAATAGACATTACATATTTGACAAGACCATGACACCTCGTTTGGAAAGTGGAGCATCTCTTTGTACGCTAACATTGCCTTCATTTGGAAACTTTCATAACTGGCTGGTTTGTTAAATGCTCCATCATGGACATGCATTCATCACCTGATAGCTGTTCAGACTGAGTGGTCCTCCAGAGTCTTTGAGCCACCTTCAAAGTTACATGGCAAGAAAACAGAGAGAAGATTATGGACACAAAACAATTAACATTACATACTGAAGTCCATTAGTCCTTTAAGACTATATGGCAATAATGAGAAACCCTAGAAGTGTATGCAAACCAATACTGTACTCACAAAACTAGTTGGTGAGGCCTTGTCTTCCAAACTGGATGAAGGACACTTATCAAACAGCTGACAAATGATGCACACTCGACTAAATCGAGCTAGCTGGGTGACTCGCCAGAGCAGTCACAACTCATCAGCAGTTTTGTGTCGGGTAGAGGTTCTCCTACAAGGTCACATATACACAGTATTGACTCTGAAACATAATTCACGCAGAGTGAAAAGAAAAGTCACGTAAATAAGTTTGAATAAACGTGCAGCTTGTCACTCTAGGAGCCTACACCTTTTTGAACCAAAACATGTTAAACACACTGGTAATGAACACAATTGGCCACGTACCCCATGTGACCACGTGACGTTGAAGAAAATGCAATGATTGGCCAAGTGGTCTATCGTTTCAAGTACTGTAAAGATGTAAACTTGATACGGAATCTTAATTAGTAACAATATGAAACAGAAAACTCAAGTGGAGACCAGGTTATGACACTTATAACACTTTTTTCATCAAATACCATCATGTTGGAGGTTTGCATACCTGAGGAAAGTTTGATTCCATCTTGCAAGCGAGGAGGAGGGTGACACTCAAGAAAATTCTCTTGACTCTAACCAGTGAACTTCAAATTACGTGATTACGTGAGAGCGTGGTTTCAATTTCAAATAAACACCAATCAGAGTCGAATCCAGCAAGTGACACCCCATGTTAACAATGTATTTGTGTTACATCTTCGACTACACAGGCTATTTTATTACCGAGTGGTGTGAATGCAACACCGGCATTCTGTTTTTATCATTGTCCCTGAACTTTTAACACAAGCCGATTTGCAGTGTGGCTCATGACTGGCGTGAAAATGGCCTGAGAACATTGACAACAAATGCATTTGTTTAACATCTAAAAAAGTGTATTTGAAAAGGGTGAGTTGTTTTTCTTCATCTTACTTTTATTTAATTGTATTATATATTGGTCACCTCTTTTCTCTTGTAGCACATATAAAAATACTAACGTGTCACTTAAAACATGGGCAACAATGGCAATTTTGAGCCTGCAATGAAAGAAATGTTTTGAAACTGGAAGAGCTTGGAAGTCAACCAGTGTTACAACGGAACTGATTGTGTTCCAGTTTGGCAGTTCCAATATGAGAGAATATGTTCATGCTGAGGCCTTTTCTCAAATGGGATAAAAGCGGGCCTCTTTTGAGTGGCATCCTGAGGGTCTGATTTGGTCAAGTCAGGTCATTGTTCCCGAAAAATGTCTGTTATTGTTTCCATCAAAAAAAAAAAGGACAAATCCAGGTGCTCTTCCTCCTCTGCCATTTTGATTATTTTCTTTCCTTTTCAAGTATTTGTGTTTATGTCTTGGAAATGCAACCATTTTCTGCGTGGTTTGTAACAATTGAACATTGTTTATTGAGTCTATTTTTCTTGTCCATTTGGAGTGTGTACTGGCTTAAAACAAGGGATTTTGTTTTCTCTAGCCTCACAAATGACGCAGGATAGAACAGCAACAGTTTCTCAATGTGTAACAGATATAGTGGCACCTGTGCATATGAGTGTTTGGCAAACGAGCTGTCGCTCGGTCAATATATTGGTCTTGACTTCTGACCAAAAATTTGGGTTCCTAGCAATAAATGGTGGCCACAAAAATCACATCAAGAAGGAGATATTGAATAATTATATATAAAAAAAAGAGGCCTAGTCTTTGCTGTAAATGATTTATTGACATTGACGTTTAAACATAAAACCGACGCGCATGTTGTGTATTTGACCAAATGATATGACTTACCAGAGTCAGCTAGCTTAATGCTACCACCCGTTAAAAAAACACCAAAGACGGAAAACTGCATGAATTTGTAGTAGATGTAACCTGTGAAGCAACAGATAACTGAACACACTGAGCACAGCAACACATGCACTCAGACACTATAACAGTACTCTGTGGCATCGATTCTTTATCCTCTGCAAAAATGCTCATATTTCAGCTTAATCAATCACTAAGTTGTGATACTACTCATGTATACCGCATGTCTGTATTGTAGTGTCCCTTGATGGCAGAGGCACACAGCAGCAAGACCAGAATGTTAATAATGGTCATTGAAGCATGAAATCATGATGCATACATTATTCACATTCAATTAAATTATGGTTTTAATATGTTTTTATAAAGTACAATACTGTAGATCTTTCTTACTGGAAAAAAAATGTGTCACCAACATTATCGTTGGTGTTTTTTGTGGGTCTGGAACAGATTAAAGGCATTTCCATTCGATTCAGTGGAGAAAGATGATTTGTGATACAAGTGTATTTACTATAAATAGTACACTTTGCAGTTTTAATAATATTTTCTGGTAAAATATGCCTAAATACGTCAACCAAAACTTAAACCCACCAAGGATTAACACCACATGTGGGCTTGCTTCTCCTTTTCTATGGCTGCCACAGAAAGGCACCAGTGACAACAAAGAGGAGATGGGATTTTGCGTGGAGGAACTTCAGTGTTCATCTGAATGAATGGATTCCCACAAACACTCCCAACATCTTTTAAAAAGTCTTCAGAGATCAGTAGACCTCCAACTCCATATTTTCACTTCCAGTATTTGTCATGGCCAGGTGTCCAAATACTTTGGTTTCCCCTGACATTGTTTTCTCAACATTTCAAAGGCAGGAGATGACGAATTTTAGAGGATTCACGCCCAAAACTCTGCCTCTCCCAATTACTTTTTTTTTTCTTTTTGGTTTGGTTTATTTTTTTACATACAAACCAGCTAGGCCACTTCCGTCTATCCAAAACAAAAGGTAGTGCTCAGTTTTGGCCTCTTGAATTTGTTGTTTCAAGCCTTTGGTAACAAACATGGCAGATCAGAGGTGAAACGGGGGCTGAGTGGAGGGCATCTCAATGAGGCGATGGAAGATCATTCGATCACATGTGGACGCCATCAAAAAGCCATTGTTGGCAGGCTGTGCCACAGGTGTGTGGAGCCCACTGGTTGGAAAAGGATGGGAAATAGTATTTATTAGGGCTGCACGATATTGGAAAAAAAAAAACATGCGATATGGGTGTTGAATATTCAAGAACGGGCCTGACTGCTATTGGCTGAAAGGGAGGATGGGCCTCGCAGTTTCCAGTTAAAAGGGGAGGAACCCTTCCCACGCATTGCGTCAGCTCCACGACGTATATGAACCCAAGCCGGTCCCGGAGTCAAACTAATCTCGCTGTCTCCAGCCTCGAAACAAGAAAAAGAAACAGGAAATCTACCAAAATACAGATCGTGAGCAGATTTTTTCTTCTAACCAGGAAGCTACGGGACAAATACGAGGCGAAAGGGAGCTGGAACGACATCGCATACGTTTTAATTGTTAAGTCTTGAAAAAAAAAAGGGACGAGGGACGGGACTTTTGGTATAAACAACGTTAAGGTTAGAAAATAGACTTTTCTCCTACTTGATGTGAAAACAGTGCAACAACTTTAAAGTTGTGAGACGACGAGGAAGTTTTGCCATTTTTCCTTCCAACACTTAAACCGAGAAGAAGACGTCGAAATAACACAAGTCGGCGTTGCCTTACCGACACTGCCATGGATTCTGGAAAGGTAACTTTTTCCAAACCAGTTCTTTTTTTCTGATTGTTGCTGCAAACGTCTGGTTTTCGAGTGAGGTCAGTGAGTGCACTAAATTAATTACCCATGATGCAGCTTGCTGGGGTACCGGATGCTTCTACAATTGAGATGCTGCGGAAATGTGGTATCGTTCTCGCACAGCACTTTCGAACATCTATTTAAAAATTGTATTGCAATCCCCTTCACCATACAAAATGTTGTCTAACTATGCAAATTCATGTCCTTCAAATGAATACTTCAATCTGTGTAATGTTGTTTACGATGTGCAGTAGAAATGCTCGTCATAGATTTGTTCAGCCTACTGTTTTTGGAACCATTCATTGATATTGTAAAAAGGGCCATACATACATATTGAGATCAAATAAGGGGTGGTGTGTGTGTGTTTTTGTGTGTGTGTGTGTGTGGGTGTGGGTGGGGGTCGGGGAGAACCAAAAACATCTTTGTTAAAGGTGGGGAAAGTGTTGCCACGACAAAACTGAGTTTGACACCCCTGTCTCAGATGTAAGCGCAGGAAGGACATAACCTGTATAAGCGTGAATGCTTGCTCAAGCGAAGAGTCTGCGTGCAGACTGAATGGGTTTGAGTTGTCGCCTTGACGTAAGCACAAAGCTTTGCCCACTGCTAATGAATGGCATTGCTCGATCATAGCAATGACTAAGCTTCCAACTGAATACAGTTTTAGCAATGAAAGCAATTGAACAGAAAAAGTGATGCCAAGACATTGCTAAAACATAATTGCACTTAAGCGTCCAATGAATTAAATCAGTTCAATTTCCATCCATAAGGGCCACATTATATATAATCAATTATATTAACTGTGTGTTGTTTATTGTTTTTTCTTGGCATCTATATGCAAATTTGGAAAACATTTTAACTTTTGGTCATTTTAATCACTGTGACTCTGAGCGCTTTGGCTCAGTTTTTGGTTTTTTTGGGGGCGATATTTACATACAATACATGTGATTGTGACATGCTATAAGATGCATATGATTGCAGAACGTAGGTTAGACCTGCTACTGAAGATTAAAAGCTAACTGTACACATTACCAGGGGCAGTGTTATTGGTGCTTCAATATAAATTTGTCCTGAAGGCTTGGCAAGCAGCTGTATTTGCAGATTAAGTGCGGGTACGTCAACAAGTGTTTTGCTGAAACACAATATCCTAGAGTGAAGTACTGTCATCGAGTGAGGCATGTCCTTATTAAAATGGTCCACATTAACTAGAATGAAAAATAATTTGGAATTTTGTCATTTAAGATTTGTGTGTTGATTGATAAACAAATTAACCTGACAAAATAAGTTACCTCTTGGGTTACCGATGGTGTCACAATTCAATCACCAGGGCGACTCTTGAATGTGAATTGTCATCTGCCTATGTATGTGCCCTGCCAGTACAGACCGTTTCCCAGGCAACTGATAAAGGCTACAGCTCACCTGGGCCCCTGAACTGGATAAGCGGTATAGAAAATGGATGAATGAAGGCTTTCCACATCTATACCACTATTTTATGGGTTTCTTTCTTCACCCGTCCACTACCCATCGTTCAAATGAAATCCCAATATGCACAGTCATTGTTTGTTCAGCTCACCAAACACCAATCAGCTTTGAAAAAAACCTCAATGCTAAAAAGTTGTTTGTCAACCGAACACTTTATTTGAATCATTCCAAATAGTCTAAAGCAGGGGTGTCACTTTGGAGTTACGTCTTCCTTCGGAGGGCCGTTACGACCGAAGAAATGTTTAACCATTGCATCGTATTATTACTTGTGTGTACACACACACACACACACACACACAAAAAGACGGATTACGAGTTTTGACATCAGTCAGGTGTGAGGCCTTATTTATTTGTTTGTTGTTTCTTCAATTATTGTTCAAATGAGTATAAACCGGTTAACAAAATTATTTCGGTACATATTTAAGCAAGTATCATGGAAGCTGACACATGATTTGCTTTCGCGGGCCATATAAAATGATGTGGCGAGCCAGATTTGGCCCCCGAGCCTTGACTTTGACACCTGTGGTCTAAAGGGAAGGTGTGAGGCCTTATTTATACAGTACCAAAGTTTTATTTGTACCGTTGTTGTGAAACTAAACAGGACTTTATCTGGTGTCTGATAATGCAGTCTCTGACTACTTGCCGCAGCTTGTCAGCACCATCCTCACATTGTCAGACAGGAAATGCAATGAGACACCTAAAAACTATTTTGTTTTGTGATTTAGTGACACAGCCCCCAAATCAAGTAAAATGTATTTGTCGATGTTAATCAAAAAAAAAAAGAGTCTCAAATGGCTTTACAAACCAATTGTTGACAATGAACGACGCGCCCTGATCTAAACCCCCAAGAAGTCAAGGAAAAACTAGGAAAACAAAAACAAAACATGGGGGTGAAGGAAGGGGTCACAGATGGGGGAAACATTTAACACTCATTAGAGTCCATTTAATTAAATGAGATTGAAGCCTTGCAGGTAGACATCAAAACGCAACCCGGTCAGTCGATGCAGAATGCTCCATAGCAAGCGGCCCATTTCAGATCTTGTCCCCGACAGTCTGTGTGGAATTCGTATAGCAGAATCAGATACAGTCATTATCAGCTAGCCCCCTCTCCAAGCAGGGGAAGAGGGGGCAGGAGGGAGAAGAAGCATTCGTAAATCACCCCTGTGTGTACTTTACATAAGTTCAAGATCATAAAAATAAGTCTTAAGTGGACATTTAAATATTTTGACTGAGGTAGCGGCTCTAAATTTCATGGCTCGGGCATTCCAGAGCACTCGATCCCCAAGAAAGACATGTTTTCTAAATGTATCCTTAGCTGTTGTTGCTTTGGCCTTCGGCACTTTTCCCCTGTGACCGTCTTGTACTTCCACCCCACTTGTCCCCATCAGCTGGATGTTTGCTATGGCTATGATGGGAATATCCAGCCCCAATTTCCACGCATCAGTCCAGGGGGAGGCCATGCTCTACATCAATCCAATCAGGGCCAGCCATTGCATTTTCAAACCGCACAAGTTGCACACATACTTCTCTGCAGCTCTCGTTCCTGCCACAGGGAAACGCCAATGCAATTTTACAGCAAATTGACCTCAGAGCTTCAATTATGCATTTGTACATTGATTTCAGACCAGCTTTGGCAAGTGTTGTAACAGCTCAACTTTAGCGGCTCTTGTTTCTCTGAGATGTGTTCTGTCGATGCCATTCGGCGTGTAACACACTTAATACCTACATGGTAGCCATCACTAATGAGCTGCACGTTGCCACCTTTCCAGCTTAACTCTGAACAATGTTTTGTTTGTGTTCCCCGTTTCGCAAAGAACAAAATGCTAATTGGGGTTAAACGAACCCTTGACTCGGCTTATTTGGACGGGAAGCCGTGGGGGTGGTAACGGGTTCAGGGGCTCACGTTTTCTCGAACCTCCACACAGGGCTGCAAAACCGCCGCCTCCTGTTTGATGTGCTGCCTTCCATTTCCCTTGTAATGAGACCGAGCGAGATCATTCTGCTGGAGAATGAACAAGCCCTACCACTATATTCCTCAAGTGAACTTGTCCACAGAGTCAATAAATCATGAGACTACACGAAGGACCCCCTGATTTGTCACACACTAGATTTATTTTAAGATGAGCTCTGTCACCAAGGTCGTAGTGTTTGCTTTAGCGACGCCTAGAAAAGAGCACAGCTCATTTTATTGGCCCTACATGTGACCGTCTGGTATGTTGGCAAATTCAATCGCATTTCCAACATGCGTCGACAAACTTAAGTTAGATCAATGCTTTACAAGTTTATCATCGTCCCGAGACTCTATTCGCAGGTCAAATAAGATCATTGTTCCAGAATATTGGAAAAAAGTTCAAGAATAACAAGGCTTACCAGGAAACGTTTGGCACACTTGTGCACCCAAATTACATTATACGGTATTTTTGTTCCTCTCTTCTCAAGAAGAGGAAGTAGGAGAACAACAATCTACACTTCAACGTTCAAGTGGAGGAGATTTGCTGGCAAGTGATAATGTCGAACTGCACCGGTTTATGTTCTCCTTTGCTTGTAACAATAAGAAGTAAGGTCACTGAAAGGCATTGATGTTTGACCCTGAAATCAACATGATTCACAGTGTTGAGGGGAAATTTGGCCGCCGACTTAGGCCTTAATTAAACTGGATTTAGAAAAAAAAATTGTTTAGACACCTGCTTGGAACCCCCCCCCCACCCCCAAAGTTGGGTAATTAAAACAAATTAACCGTAAACAATTTGATCTGGACTCTTCACTTGTTTTAAGACTTAAACCTGACTGGTAAATTAATTGTGTGGGGTTATGTAGGACATAAAAAGTCGACACATCCTTTTCAAATGGCAAGATTTTGTGATGTAATAAATAAAATTAGTTGAACATTAAACGGTTATAAAAAATTTCCACCATTAATATGACCTACTGGCTTATGCAACTCAATTGAGGAAAAAAGGGTTTTTTTTTTTTAGACCGGCAAAGTACAAATAAACTACCATACTGTGGTTGCACAAGTGTGCACACCCTCTTGTAACAATGTGACTGCTCGCAATTAACCAGCACATGCCTGCCACCATTTAAAGTGCCTCTGATTTTTTTTTTCTCAAATAAAGTTCAGACGTTCTAGAAGACCTCTCATTTTTTGACTTTCTACCAGAGGCCTGAAGATTTTGTTGTTACACTGATTGCTATTTTGACCTGTTCATAATTCATTGACTTTTTCTTCATATGGTCTCCCCAACTGTCCAAAGCATGATGCTGCCACTTCTGTGTTTCACTTGTTGTTATGGTGTTCTGAGTATGATGATCATTGTTGTTTGCGCCAACATTACCTTTTGGAAAAAAGGTAATGTTCCATTTTTAAATGAGTTTGATTGTGATTAGCTAATCATGACCAACCCTAGTTATGAGGTTGTGTGTACTTGTGCAACCACATTGCCATTGTTTTTCCTTTCTGTTGTCCAAAATATTTTTCTTTTTTTTTTTCTCCCAATGTCGTCATAGGTTAGAAGTCAAATTAATGGTGGAAAAATATATGAAATGATTTATCTTTGTGCTCTTAAAGACAATTTTGCCTTCAATGAACCAAGTGTCTGCATTTTTAGAAACAAAGTCAAGAACAAAAAGCTGAGCATGTGAACAGGGTAGGTGTACGGCGTACGTTTTACATCCACTGTACGTGTTTGGAAGGAAAGTTTTGGCAACCAAAGGACTTGGGAGTTTTGTAAGCGAAACTAGAAAAAAATGTGTGTTTATTTAAACAAATTAACCACAAACGCTTTCATCTTGAGTCATCCTCAAGACTTTGTGAATGGGAGAGGTGTGGTCTGAAGGGGAAGTACATGTTTTGAAGTGATATTCTGGCAGCTAAAGGAAATGCTATTTATATGGTGATGGAAAATGTATTGACATATGTTGTTTCGCTGCCCACTTTTAATCATACAGGCAAGAAAACCAACATAAAGTAGAGAAGTTTTCATCAGACAATGAGGTACAAAGTTGGAAGTTGGGGACACTCAGTTTATTCAAACGAAATAACCATAAACACTTTCGTAAACTGAGGTAAAGACGAAACTGATGGGAAAGGTGCTGTCTGTCCGAAGTATGATTTTTGAAGAATGGTTCCGGTGAAAAAAGATGGAGATACTTGCTATAACCATGGCCTGGCAAAACATCCTTTCATTGGTTGTTTCCTTTTTACACTTTGCTGACCTCTGTGAATTATTTTTAATCAACTACGAGTAAAGTGATGACCACGTGTCGATCATGTGTTTTGGTGTAGTTCAAGTTGGGTGTAAATCACCAAGCTGATGAAGGCTTTGCCACACGCCAAAGCAAACAAGAGTATTTGAAACTGCAGATCAGGGGGATGAGTGTTGATCTTGGTGAAGTTGCAACGGATCACGTATAGGATTCCTCGCAGATGTGAAAGCTGAGATGGCGGAAGTGACGGCCTGTGGAGGGACGTGATAGAGTCCTCGTAGGCACAGCCTGAGGGGCTACCAGCTGAGTTGAAGTGCAATCAAAGCGGATTTCATCAGAGTTACTTTTGTTCTGGCCTCATATTGTTTTTGAAATAATACATTAGACGCATTTCTCGAGACTTCAAAGCAGCCTTGTAGTGCAGCAGATCAATAAACTCACTGTCAGCATTGGGTCATGAAATTGAGTTACCGATGAGATTGTTTTTCCAGTCAGCTTTCCCCCCAAAAAACAAGATAGAAATAGAAAATACAAAATAGAACTTTGTCTTCGCTATTTTAGAAAATCTCTTTGCCCGTTAAGTTAAAAAAAAAAAACTGGCAAGCGAACACTCTGGATCCTTTTGACTTCCTTTTAGCTCTTGAATTCATGAAAAGACCAGTGCGCCCCCCCCCCCCGCCACCTCCCCCCATTTTTAATTGAAAACAAATGAGAAAGTGGTTTGGCATCACGGTAGGCAACTGGTTTGCAAGTCCGCCTCACTGTCCAGAGGTGCCGGGTTGTATTCCGGCTCCAGCTTTCCTGTGTGGAGTTTGCATGTTCTCCCCGTGCCTGCGTGGCTTTTCTCCGGGTACTCCGGTTTACTCCCACGTTTTTTTTTTTAGGTATCTGAATTACTCAAGGACTCATTTCACCCCGAGTTGACAGTATGCTCCCATACATGCGACTTACATGATCCACGAGGGTTTTTTGGTTTCCTCTGCTGCATTTACAGTGAATGTGGACTGATCATGTTGCCAGCACGTTAACGTGCATTTTTGTTTGTTTGTTTGTTTGTTTGGTTGTTTATTTCACCAACCAATACGGGGAGGTTGTGCAGCTAAAACCGCGGTCCTCGATCCGTGCGGATCAAAGCTGATTCATTGCACCACTACTCGTAGTTGTCCATAGATGGAGGTAAAGATTAAGATAAAACATTTTCTATTGACTGTCAGCTGCAACGAGACACAGTATATGAAAACTCACTGCTTTGTGGCAATAATCAAATACTACTAATAATATTTTTCTTTTGGGGGTAATTTCTTCACACTAAAGTTTATTTAACTTGTGCGATTTGTGGGTTGAATGTTTCCAACCGGGCCCAATTAATTAATCACCTTTTTGGGGCCTCCGACGTGTCTGAAATCTCACTCGTTTAACGTTTATATACTCTGGTTGGAGTCTGTGTATTATAAGGGTCATAAACCAGCAGCAAAACTCACTCCGTTGCACCCTGTGGAAAGTTAGGAAAAAAAAATAACCCACCTGAAACCTGACTCTCTAAAGACCTGACTCTGTAGTGTTAACCAGCTGAAGATGAAGAGTCTTGCCTCTGTGGGGAGCTGAACTTTAACAGCCTGTCAACAGACTTAATTTGCATTTTGCAGTGATGACTCATCCCTCCAAAAATCACATGGTTAACGTTTCACAAGCAGGGACCTCACATTTGCATGCTAGATTTAAGTCATATTGTGGCATTTACACAAAATAATCAAGTGTGTGTACAATACATGAGCTTCCCCTTGCGATTATTTATAAGATGCTGGATTCCTGAAGCGATTACAGACTTTAGTTAATCTTTTTTTTTTCTTTTCTTTGACATTGTGTATGTTCAGCCAACCAATGGTCAGCCAAGATACCAACAAAACATCTCTCTGTCTTGTGACCTATGCGATATAGAAATTGTAGTGAAGTGTTAAAAGCAAATAAAATAGCTTGAATTTTAATGTTAGCTATATTGTCCCACCTCATTAAAAATAAGTGCAACTACTCGCAGCACGTTTTGGCAGAAGAAGGCACACAATGGCTTCCTTTGAGGCGACGAGGATAATAAAATTGCACGTAGGGCGTGACTTCATCGTTTCCGCAACACTTAAATGTCATGATGATCCTGCTGCCCTGTGTACAGACAGAGGTGTAGGAATCTTCCACTTGCTGTGTGCCATTTAAAGGGGACACAGCAAAATCGAACATGTCAGGCCAAATTAAACACCTTTGGAGTCTTGGTATGTAGGCAAAAGGTAAAGCTGGTCGATTTTTCTCCAGCCCTCACTGTGTGTCATTCATCGCTTGCTGTATTCAAGTGTTGAAGCAAGTATTTGCACATATTTCTAGTCTTTCCCCAGAGCGAGCCAGCTGTCAAGTAGCCAGCGATGGCTTCTCCCACGGAGATTTTTTTTGTTTACTTATATATGTAGATGAGTCGATTATTGGCACTTTATCATTGGTTCTTTAAGACAAAAAAGCCTTCATACCCCAAAGTGTACTGAGCAATGCTGTGGCGCGCTTTATCGCACACAACACATCCTTGTTTGCAGGTTTAGAGTGGCTTCAATTTTTTTATCGCACGTCACAGTGCATGCTTTAAATGCTTGATTTTTTTTTTCCCTCCTTCCTCTCCATGGCCTTCACAAAAAGTGTCACGCAGACTGCCACTGCCCCAAAATTGCTTCCTCAAAGTATGTTTTCTTTTTAGTTCGTTTCCTTAACCCAGAATGAATGTTATCATTGGCGAAGTCTGAAGGGAAAAAAATGGTAGGCAGTTGAAAAATCTTGATGTAACCTTTTTTTCCTAAAAATCTATAGAACATCATAAAATTCCTTCGGCCCAATATGTGACTGTGCCCCAAGCTTTTGCTTGCCAGTCTGACATAAAGGAAATTAACATGCATTTCTCTGGTTTATTAAATTTGCGTTATAGGGGCAATATAGTCCAAGCTGCTCAGCTCCATGGGGTCCTGATGTTTGGAGAGAAGCCAATATTTAGGGTACAGGCATCTGGAGGTTCCCCTTGGAGCAATTTATTGTTAAAATCAATTGCACATAGACTTGCGCTTCTCTGTTTGAGACAAGACATACCTGCTCGAATAGTTTCTTTAGGCGTTGCACAATGTGTTTGTGATATAAGATGTCTGGAATGTTTTCTCAGACGGCAATGTTCATTATGCTGGTTATAATCAGCCAGTGAGTAGCGAATAAGTCAAAGTCCAAAACATATCCAAATGTGGACAACCAATCAAAATTCTGCTCCCAGACCACCCACTGTTCCACATAAATGTGTTACATGCAGAAATAATGTTCAACTCTACCTGCTCGATCAATTAACGGCAGAAAATACTCAAGAAATTATCAAGACTATACCCACTTGTTGTTATGTTTGCGGATGTTTTTGCTGTATGCGATACATGCAGAATCGATCCATTCCACACAGTAACAATGAGTACAAAATCTATTCACTGTCTACGATATTGAGTCCTAATTCGAACCGACTGAGGCACTGACAGACATCGCTTCCTGTTTTTCTCCCCATGCAGCAAATCACCTTCCCATTGATGCTGTGTGTTGGGACCGCCGTGATTGGATCCCTGCAGTTCGGATACAACACGGGCGTCATCAATGCACCTCAAAAGGTAAGAATATTATCAAGTTGTTGTTGATCCACATGTGCTCTCACTCTCACCCCAAGTTAGCTGTGATGGGCTTTGGCTCACCCATGACCCTAGTCAGGATAATTACAGAAAACGGATTGATGGATGTTAAAGTAGGAGAAATCCACAATATTTTGGGTCTGCAATCTTGTCCCATGCCTGTGATGTGCTGAGCTTAGGTCCACCGAGTGGAAAAGGGGGTGGGCTTAGTAAAGGGCTAATAATAGCTGCATTAGGGGCTTATCAGCTCCAAGGACATCTTTATTAACAGACTCGGGGTGATTCCTTTGTAAAACAGTGCCCTAAAATGGGCTGAATGACAGCAAGTTAGAAGAGGATTATTGCAGGAAATGAAAAGGCACCTGTTCGCAGGGCGATGCTGATAGTAAGAAAACATTCTTATGAACACCCCTCCCCTCGGGTAAATTTTAAGTTTATTAACATGGAGGTTAATAAAGGAGCCAATTTCCGGGAGGATGTACAGTGAGACTTAATTTTGTGTGGGATTGTTACACCCCTGTTGGTCTGAGGTACCCTGCGGCCTCCCAGCACACAGGGTCTCAGGTGTGTCACCAGACAGGCCCCACCTCTTTATGGCTCTCTATTTACCTTTTCTTTCCACTGGATCCTCAGCTGTTTGATATGTTGCCACTCACCAGTGAGTGAATGATATGCAGACACGGGCAATAATTGAACCTGCCCTTAGTGCAGCTATCCATTTATACCTGACACTGCTTCATAAGGTAATTGGCGAGAATGCATAAAAGCCAACTGGCAAACAACAGTATCAGTTCAGAAAAAATCTTTAATTAACCATGTTAGGACATATGGGGTTTCTGCCTGATAGCGAGCCACGTGATATATTTGCAACCAGTCCAGGGTGTACCTCGGTTTGCCCAAAGTCAGCTGAAAGAGACTCCAGCTCACCTGTGACTCCAATATGAGAAAGCCGCTCCAAAGTGTAGAGTTTGATTTTGCATTCATACAGTCAAATCATATTTATCTTTCAGTGTAGTGCAAAAAAAAAAAAAAAATCTCCCTGGCTTGGGTGTCTTCACATGCGGAACAGCATAGCACAGTGAAAATGGGGGGTGGGGGGGGGCATATTTGGCCACATGGATCTAAGCGGTGTGAGTGCCTACACATGGGAGTAGAAGGGGGATTTGGTCAGTGTGTTTTTATACACACACTCGTGCGTGGTCACGTGAAAGTTGCAAAACAGCTCCCCAACACATAATAATCGCTTTGTATTAATGACCAAGTAAGAGGATATAGATTTACCACAATTTCTTTGCATCAACACTTGAGGTGTTTGACAGGAAATGTCCCGTATACTTTGACTTTGCATTGTAAGACTGCATGAGAGCACCACAGAGTTTTTGAACTGTTTAGATTTGAACAAGCCCCAACATAAAGTGGCCGCGATACACGGACGTCCCAATTAAAATCTCAGCACGAGCGTTGTTGGTTGTGAAAAAGTCTTGTTCCATTGGCATATACACACCGAATCTGCCGTGACTGCATGAGATTTTTTTTTTTTTTCTTGACTCACTTTGTTATACATTGCTCACTTGGACAACCTGACCGGCATCACGGACGATTCCCGCTGACAGGCCGGCAGTATGAATGCGCAGCTTGTTTTCAGGCCGTCTGCTTCCCATTGCCAGCTGCTGAATGGGCTTGCGCAGTAGTCTTTGCAAGTAACACAAGCCAGGGGTCAGTCGGGACATTTTCATGCACTTTGGCTGGGATAGTGGAGATGACTGTTCATCTCCACTACCGAGAGTGGCGCTCTCTCCCACTTGAGCCCCTTAGTATTCCTGGATTTATCCATCCATTCATCTATTTTCTAATCCGCTTATCCTCACAAGGGTCGCGGACATACTGGAACCTAGCGCAGCTGTCTTCGGGCAGTAGAGAAAATGCAAATTCCTTACAGGAAGGCCAGAGCCGGAATCGAACCCTGCACTTCTGCACTGTGAGGTGGATGTCCACCCTTTCTGAATTTAGTAATGTCTAAATCTAAGCTCGATTAGAGGTTATGGCTCAGATCAACTTGAGGTTTTAAAGTAGTAAAGCCTATGCAATGCACACCATATTGAACGTAATAGTTTAACAGGACATGCTAACAAATGGCAAACAAAAATGGAGAATGAGCATCCGCCATAGAACTGAGACAAGAGGAGACTGAGGACAGCCAGAAAACGAAGCGCTCTGGCCAAAACTGTGTAATTGGTGGAGAAGAACGAGGCTTTCCTGTACATGTATTTTATTCTCCCGCAGTGCAGAGACGAATTTTATCCTGAGAGTAGACTGAGGGCAACAAGAAATCGGAGCACTCCAGCCAAATGGAGACTTTGGATAAAAATGAGCATTTCCACTATTCTTTCAGTCGAGGAGCAAAATGTTAGACCAAGAGGAGAGCAAAAGCAACAAGAAAAAAGCACTGCAGTCAAGTGGAAACCGTGGAGGAGAGTAAGGGTCCTTATGTATTTACTTCTAACTGCGTAGGAGACAAATTTTATTCCAAGACTGGTGACGACAACAAAAAATAGCACTGGAGCCAAATGGAGACTGGAGCCTGGCGCCTTAACAGCTTTTATGATTAAGGCACCAAGTTAAACTAACATCCTTTGTATGTCACCAAGGCAGCATGCCATCTGTTTTGCATGCTGCATTCGTCCTGCACTTCCTGATCTGTCGGCTTCTGTGGTTGACTACCTATTCAAACCTGGTCAGGGTGTAACTGTGGTAAACTTCCAGCCTTACCTAATCCCACGTCTGTCCTTTATCTGCTAATGTCTTATTTAGACAAGAAAATGCTTCCGGCCGGTCGTGAGTGATCTATTAAAAAAAAAAAAAACGCACCCAAAAAAACCCCACTCGCATATCAGCCTAGATTTAAGTGGTTTGGAAGGTCATGAGCAGCTATATGATAATAAGGATCTCTATGCAAGTGTGAGGCGATAAGCGTGCTCCGCGCTAAGAGCAGCCAGCAGAAGGGATATGGCAGGCCCGCCTGTCTCACTGTAGATTGTGGGTCTCATACTGGCGTGTGTTAACCGCAGATTTGAGGTTTATGAAATAATTTGCAATACTGTACATTACTATGATGTAGCATTTTAAAATGTGCACGCCTTCATGTGGCAAAATGATAAACCAAAGAAGGGTAAGCTAATGTTAATAGGAGCCTGCCTTAGCATTGGGGCTATTCAAAGTTTTACTAAAATCTGATATCCCTCCATGAACCATTTTTTTTAAATAGAAAAATAATCATATCATTAGAGGATTGAAGTCCTATTTTATCAAGAATAGAAGGCTCATTTTTTTTATTCTAGTCTTTTTTTTTTTAGAGAATAAAGGTGTCTTTTCCAGAATAAAAGGTACAATTTTACAAAATATGTCCTTTGTTCTTGTAAATGTTATTTTTTTTTCCTTCATGAAAATAATGCCATACTTATCAAAATTATCACAGTTGCTTTTGACAAAATAAATCTTGGATCTTGTAAATACATTTTTATTATTACAACCTGTTTTAATAAAAAGAAAATATCTGTCATCCTGAAATTATGACTTCTTCTGTTACAGAGGAATTTATTGTTCATTGACAACAACTTCCTCTGTAACAAAGTGCTTCAGTTTCTTCATGCCTTTCAATCCGGTTTATGCTTCCGAGAATAATGGAGGTTTGCTTCCGCCCCAAAATACGCTTAGCATACTTACAAATGTTAAACCATGAGGTTCACTGTATACTCGTTTTAAAAACATCATGTTTAGATTTAGTAACTATTCCCCATTTCGTGACTTTTTCTTCTTGTTTTTAAGAACATTTGTTGTTTTGTTGTAGTTGTTTTAATTGGCATTAGAAAAAAATAATTCCTTCCTGTCACTACAGCCCAAAAAGTTTGAGACCCCCTGCGCTGGTTGACACTGGTCGGCCTTTGAAAATAAACACAAAGCCTATGTGACACTCAACTTGGACATCGGGCGCTTTGGTGGAGGTCAAGCAGCATACTGACCAAGTCACACGTCGAGCGCTGACGTTTTTGGAATCATGTGAGCCGCGGTTGCTCTGACATAAGCACAGACACATGCACACACTCAAACAGGCGGAGTTATTTAACTGCTACCACTGGCTGGTCTGGGGGTGTGTTTGTAAACACAGTTGTTGTGGGGGGGAAGGGAGTAAAGTTGGCAGGCGGAACTTCCTCCTTGCCCGCAATTGTCGGCGATTTGCTGCCATCAGCTGGCCATGTGCAGCTGGTCACCGCTGACACTGCACGCCGATTAAGGAAATGGGAATTAAATTGAGGAGCTCATTGCTGTTTCAGCACAAGATTACCCCCCCCCCCCCCCCCACACTTTTGTTTGGTGATGTTGACAAAAAAATTGGCACAATATACAAGATGGGGGCAACGTGTGCCTTGGCTCAAAGGTTACGAAACACTACGGCAGTGGTTGTAATTGTCGTCTTCTTCCTGTCTTCTCTGCAGATCATCGAGAACTTCATCAATGATACATGGGTTGCGCGTTACCAGACGCCCATTTCGGAAAACACCCTCAAAGCCATCTGGTCCATTGCCGTTGCCATCTTCTCCGTCGGCGGCATCTTCGGCTCCTTCTCAGTTGGCGTTTTTGTCAACCGCTTTGGAAGGTACAACACAAGCACCTCGGTTGTGAAGATCAAGTTGAAGCTTTACTTCCTTTTAGCAATGGAACAAATCACACGTGGTCCTCAGTTTACAGTCATAACCTCAAATTGTCCCCGTAAAAGTTACTTGGATCTAAGACTGCTTCAATCCAGATATGAAAATGAAGCATAAACAAAAAATGTTGGCGATATCCTATTAAGACCAAGTAATCAGTGGTTAAGTAAGTAAATAAGCAGGGATCAGCAGAGGCCTATAAGATTATATATCGGTGTCTACATCATACGGTTCCTGCCCAAAGAGCTTTACACATGGACTCGTGTACATTTCACATAGCTTACACTTACTAGCCAATCCTTTGAACTGTTAAGTAAGCAGGAGCACGCTGGTGGCGGCCTGTCACCGTTTTAACCCCTAAAACACCAAAAAGGTTTTGCTTACCTTAACCAGAATTCCGTGTCACATTGCTGCCAAAGGTACAATTCTAATAGTTTAAAGTGCGTCGTAAAATCTTTGTGGAAACCAAAACAAGTTGCCTCAATCTTTGGCTACAACTACTACTTAGGGCTGAACGAGGGAACTACTACATAGGGTGAGGCAATGTAGTGAATGACTGGGAATAAGGGTGGACATTTGGGCGCAGTTTTCTTTATCTTCTACACTTTGTTATGCCAGCAGTTGTTGTGCAATGATGTGTGAATAAAGTTAACTTAAAACTAAATTATGATCAGTCTATGATTGGAACTAAGAAAGTAATTTCATTTTTTAAGCCATAACATAATGTCTACCTGTAGGTCAACTGGGGATTGAACTCACAGCAGAGAACTTATTACCTTTCACTGATGAAGCCATTTGCTCTGAATATGAGATCCTGTCACAGTATACCTCCAAATGCCTTTTTTTTGCCCATTTTTCATTTTCATTATTTAATTTTTGCACCGTTCAATGTGACAGGGCAGTAGGGTGACGGCCTAGTACCCTCGTTTGATGACCCGCCTGTGATTGGTACTGTAGCTGGATAAGAAATGCTCATCAGAAAAATATGGGGTCCCGCAAGAATCACCTTTATTTCCCTTTTTTATTCATTTTGTGACATACGTCGGAAAACTAAGGAACGCCAATATCTAAGAAAGGCTATCAAATAAAACATTTTGTCCATCAGGATTTAAGATGGATATAAACCGCTGATCTGATGAGCTTTGCATTGCAACTAGAGGCCTCCGCTCTACCAACTGAGCTATCAAAGGATGGTTCTGTGGTGAATGTTTTTCGTGTTTCTCCATATTAATCAGGAGCGCATGCGCGGAGTACTGTAAATATAGGAAATACTCAAGATGAAGAAATCTGGGGTCCCTCATGGTCGGCCTTCATGTCCTGTACTTTGTATTCACTTCATTATATAAGACTGTCCTTGAAGATGGATTTGAACCAGATTATCTGTGATAACCACGACAGCCTTGCCCCTTCTACAAACTGAGCTATCACAGGATGTCTTTTTATTTTTTTGATGAAAAGATTTTTATCTTTCTTTTGAGTTTATATTTGACATCCCACAAGATTCCCCTTTATTTTCCATACTTTAAGGCATTTACTAACTTTAATGCATTTAATATGATGCATGGAAAAATTGCTTCAACTTTTTAATGATTCTCTCCGGGTAATTACATAAATGACTCTACTGAACGGCCCTTCATCGAAGTTTTACAACGATGTAAATGTATTGCCAAAAGCCTTCAAGTGCTTGTGGGAAAATTGCAGACATTTAGGTCAGTAGGGGGGAAATGCTCACAACTATAAGAAGCTAAATGTGAGGTCCCTCAAGGTCCCCCTTTATTTTCCAGAATTTTAAATTTATTTTGTAATGAAAAAAAAAACAAAAAACTAAGGAGCTACAATACATGTGAAGGAAAACAGAAGCCTTACATTACACTTTTTCACAAAATAAAAGCGGTATTTCTGCAACATCGATAAAGTATAACTGCTAATTGTAGGTGTTTCCATTGAAGGGTGCTTGACCTCTGAGGCTTAGTTCTCGAAATGTCCCCTCTTGCGAGATCTTGCAATTCTCCTAAAATCTCATGAAGGTCATGAAACCGTTGAGTGGGTCCCACTCCGGACGCACTTCATTTGCCCCAGTGCGCCGCGGCTAGCTCTGGCTTGGCCTGCAAAGGCTTGGGAGGGCCTGGGGCTCTCGGTTCCAATGGCATTCCCGCGCTCTACAGTGCTCGGCTGCCCGGACCTCACCACTTCCCCCACAGTGTTTGCTGCGCTCCTGCCAGAGACGCCCACCCCACCCAAGCTCAGCCGTGTCGTGCCACCCAGTTGGGACTGGCCCACAAGCGGTATCAGAGGTCCGCCCTTGCTGAGATGGCCCCTGTCCTGCTCGGCAGGTTCGCTAGGCAAACCCTCATTCTCTCCTGCCGGTTCTCCATTGCACCAGCACTCTTCGCTGTGGCTACTGGAGACATTGCTGGACAGCTTGTTGCTGCTGGAGGGGATGCAGTACTGGGTCTCACACTTTGAAAGTGACCGGGCACGGTCACATGACCAGTGGAAATGCAAAAACGTTTCCCATCAAACATTTGCGGAATACTTCATTATTGACACTTCTCCAAAACCACCTCATGGGCGTACCCAAGTCCATTAGTGGATGGCACTTTCCTTTTTTCTTTTTAAAATTTATTTATTTATTTTTAACCTTTATTTGTGTCGGTAAGGTAATTTGAGAGCAGATTCGCATTTGCAATACAAACCTGGCAGCAGACAGGAGAGTTAAGACTTTGGTAGCGAAGAGATTAATTACCGTAAACCCTAACCAAATAAGCAACTAGGGAATGCCAGATATGAACCAGCTCCTGACAACCCTGAATAGGATTATCATTATATAAGATGGAAGGTTGATCCGCGGTGGCGGCATGGGTCAGTGGTAGAGTAGTCGTCTCCCAACACAGAGGTTAGAGGTTCGATCCCTGGCAATTGTGACCATTTTAAAGTGTCCCGGTCCTTGCAAGATATTGAACCCCCAGTTGCTCCTCATGCCGTGTCATCTGTCGGTGAATAAGGAAACTGTGTAAAACCTTTTAAATACGTGGGGTAGGAAAAAAAAAAAAAGCCACTCTACCGGTTCATATACACTACCAAATTTTGCTATGTCAGCTCGGCTGTGTCCGCCTCTCCATTGCTTTGACCGTTTAAAAATATTAGATATCGGAATTTATCTGTGAATCAGAATTGGGCGACTGAACTTGCAAATGCAAGTCTAGCCTAATTGCCATTGGTTTTCATATGTCCTCAGGAGAAACTCCATGCTCCTGGCTAATGTACTGGCCCTAATCTCATCGGCCCTGATGGGCTTCTCCAAGACAGCATCCTCCTTCGAGATGCTCATCATCGGTCGCTTTGTGGTGGGCTATTACTCGGGCCTCTCCACTGGCTTTGTGCCCATGTATGTGGGTGAGGTGTCGCCCACGGCGCTTCGCGGGGCTCTGGGGACCCTCCACCAGCTCGGCATTGTCGTGGGCATCCTCATTGCACAGGTACTGTTGATTTTCATTGACATTATTTGCGTCTTTTTAAATAGATGTCATCACCCATATGAGCCTGCTGGCTGATTGCAGGTGTTTGGATTGGAGGCCATCATGGGTAACAGGGAATTGTGGCCGCTCCTCTTGGGCTTCATCTTCATCCCGTCGGTGATGCAGTGCATCCTGCTGCCCTGCTGCCCTGAAAGTCCACGGTTCCTGCTCATCAACAAAAACGAAGAAAATAAAGCCAAGACTGGTAAATTGTCACACTCACAGAAATGTCACCAAACATGGATGACTTAAGATCTTAAAATTCAGCCTCATGTTTTGCCCAGATGGTGTTGTTTATATTGGGTAAGATCACAATAAATGATAACATTTTGAAATGTGTGTATTCATATATGTATATACACAATGTCATATTACTGTTATATTAGTGCTGAAGAAGCTGAGGGGCACCAACGACGTTAGCGCTGACATGCAGGAGATGAAGGAAGAGAGCCGGCAGATGATGCGGGAGAAGAAGGTGACCATTTTGGAGCTGTTCCGCTCACCACTCTACCGCCAGCCCCTCCTTGTCGCCGTTGTGCTGCAGCTTTCCCAGCAGCTCTCGGGCATCAACGCTGTGAGTTTTTTTTTTCTTTCTCTTTTTCTTTTCCACACACATTGGTAAGTACAACCTGAAACTGAGGTTTCGTTTGCTCCTGTCAGGTCTTCTACTACTCCACAAGCATCTTTGAAAAGGCCGGAGTGGCACAGCCAGTCTATGCTACCATCGGAGCTGGTGTCGTTAACACAGCTTTCACTGTGGTGTCGGTGAGTATCTAAAAGCGCAACTCGACTCAAAAAAATGTGCTTCAAAAAAAGTCAAGAGGCTAAAACCTGATCAATAAAAGACAGATGATCATAAAGCATCAACACCATACTTCTAGCAAGATCACAAATGTGAATCCATGTTACAGAAAGGATTATTTTAACGCCCGGTGCAAGTCTAGCGGAAAGCGCGGTTTAACTCTGCCACGGTGGAGTTTTGTTTGGTTTAATATCTTAGTAGATGGTCGCAGTTAGAAAGGGGTGTTTGCGCCGATCTGGAAGTGACCATCGCTGACGTGATTCCGGCCACTGGAAGCGGCTGCTCTCATTTCCTTTAAATTCAGCACAGGAGAGGTGCACGGGTTGCGTGGCGGAAGCATAAACAGGCTTGCTGGAATCCATGCAGGAGATTGACCCCTATGTTTATCAGGAACTGCAAGAAGATGTCCACATGCAGATGATGTGGTCTATCAAATTCGGAAATGCGCTAGAGGAGACTTGACCCGGCATGAAAATCAAGATGACAGATATTAAACCTGAGCACACATGTGGCATCAGCAAAAATAGAGCCTCGGGAGGTACTGTAGAATACTGTTTGTCTTACATGTTACACATGTGTTTGTTGGGATTTCCATTCATTTAAATAGGGATGGATGATTTCATATTCATTTTCACGTCAGTCTACCAGAAAGCAAATTGTATCCAAATAGTGGAACATACAATAGAAGCAAATTCAAACCATATAACAAACTTGCTGGCGGTTCCTCTGAGAGCTTATGTTTATCTGTGCTGCTGTTTTGGTTAGCCACATAGTTCCAATGGATTCATTCAGCCGTTAACTAGTGTTCATTGCTTCCAGCTATTTGTGGTGGAGCGCGCCGGCCGGAGGTCTCTCCACCTGCTGGGACTACTGGGAATGGCCGGTTCTGCCCTCCTGATGACTATTGCCATGGCCCTTCTGGTATGTGACCCCCTTGGGTCAAATCTGTGCAAGTCCTGATTCCCGATATAACGTGCCCTTTTTTCCTGTCCCTCCGCAGGACCAGGTCAAATGGATGTCCTACTTGAGCATCGTGGCCATCTTCGCCTTCGTGGCCTTCTTTGAGATCGGACCCGGTCCCATACCCTGGTTCATCGTGGCCGAATTGTTCTCTCAAGGGCCCAGACCTTCAGCTATTGCTGTGGCCGGTTTCTCCAACTGGACTGCCAACTTCATTGTGGGGATGGGCTTCCAGTATTTAGCTGTGAGTCACATCATTAGTTTTATTTGAAAATGAGTTAATGAATTAAAGAGAATGCGGCATAACCGTGTACTGAGCAGACACTTCCATTACCATTTTATGTGATAGATAATATGGCTCAGTTTTGATGGATGCTGTTAATAAGTAACTGAAGCAATCTTTAGATTTTAATTCATTTTTAATCTCTGTGTCATTAATACGATTGCAATTATTTACATAACTTCAATTACATAAAAGTCAGAAAGACTGTATGATAATATAAGAATGCGAAGTACTCATTTTATGAGTCATATGTTACGAGGTTCAAAAATGCAATATTATGATTAGTCATTCATTCTAACAAGAGTTCATTACAATAACTTATTGGCACAATAGTAAAAGACCAAAAAAGTCAATTTCATCACAGGAACAATGTTGTAATTATAAGCACAAAGTCATACATCTTAAGATAATGAAGTTTTGATTTCACAGGGAAAACGTACCGGTAATTCAAGAGACGAAAGTACAAATGTTCAACAAAGTCGGAGTTTTAAAAGCATAGTCTTTTTGGCACATTTTAATATCACGAGAAAAGAAACGTAACATGCAGTGACACAATATCATAAGAACAAAGTCCTCATTAAGAGGACAAGACTAATTTGACTTAATGTCATGAAAAGCAAAAAAAAAAAAAAAAATTAGCTTAATTGCTTTTCGTTGCTCACTAGAATGGCACTCCATGCCTGACTCCCCTTTTTGGCACCACCTGTCCTCCACCATCACCAACCAAGGACACAAACAGATTTAAAAAACAACCTCGAGGAAACCTGATTGTGTTGCCGCCCCGTACGGCTGCACATATTGAACATGTCCAAAGCCCCACTGTACAGGTTTACTGCATTTGCGGTATTATCATTTGAGATGATTATCACACTTCCTACGAGGCATAAAAAGGCAACGGTAATGGACTGTATGTTCTCCCTCTTATGTCTTGTGCACAGACGGCGTGCGGCGCCTACGTCTTTGTCATCTTCATCGTGCTGCTACTCATCTTCTTCGTCTTCACCTACTTCAAGGTCCCCGAGACCAAAGGTCGGACTTTTGATGAAATTGCATCCGGCTTCCGCCAGAGCGCAGTAACGGGCGGTGAGAAGCACGAGGAGCTCAATAGCCTGGGGGCCGACTCGCAGCTCTGAAGTAGCCCTTCACTGCCAAGTGATGGGACAAACTCTTGATCACCGCGAGGAGGGGGCGGACCGACTAGAGGTGGGAGGCGGGGAGAAGGGATGGTTGGGTCTACTTGTTAGATGGGTCCCGGCGTAGAATCATTTTCACACTGTCAGCACATTTCGGTTGTCTTTACCGCGTGTGATCCTCCTTTTACGTCTTCTGCTGCCCATCCCCCACTGACACACACGCGCACACACACACACTGCTCTCCTCCTATGTCACTCAAAACGCTCGACGGGCAGCGTTTGGCCCAGAAGATGTGAAAGAAGTGTGTTGGAAGGTTTCTGATATTTCAAAGAAGGAAGAAGACCGCTCTTTTTTTTCCTTTTTTAATAGATCTACTTTTTCACTGAGCGATCATACTGTAAAATGCTGTAACACTGTAGAGTAGACTCTCGCACTGTAGCTCCTGCACGGCTTCCTCCTCCAGATGGCGCACTTTTCCTTGAAATAACTCCCCCAATATGTTACTGAGGAAAAAGTGATACGCTTCACAGCATTGTTACAGCTAATTTTAATATATGATATGTATATTACTTATTGATTTTAGATGGACAATATTTTACTCAAAATTTTGTAAAACAAAAAAAATAGTGTATGTAGTTGAAAATGTTCATGAAAAGGAGTCAAGGACCTCAGTGGAAAAAATTTAAATACCAGGAGAATAAAGTGAAGAAATTATACACTGTTTTTATCAAGCGACTAAAGTTAGTCAAAATTTAATGACACGAGTCCTAATTTTAATTGAATAAAGCCTCGATGCCATTGGACAGCCATTTGTTTAGCTGGCTGTACGAGACAGCCATTTGTTTAGTTAGCGCTACCAGTGGAATTCATCCTTCTCCAGGCTAAAAGGAAACATGTCTAAAAATGGCCGCCGTCTAGATTCGCTCGCCGTTGCGCCCCGGCATGATTGCGCGCTATGCACCGCGGTGTTGGTCAGCACCGCCGAGCGGTACCCCGTCAGCACAGGTAAATATCACGTTAAGTAGCTCGATACTAGACGATGCGACATGGCAGCGGGACCCTAGAAAGGATAAGCAGTTCAGAAAGTGGATGGAAAGTTGCTAAAATAGCATTTTAATATTCCAAGAATAAGTCTTAGCTTATTCGATTGAAATCATACTCTTCCAAGAATATCGTCACAATATTTGTATTGGTAAAAAAAAAAAGCGTTTGAGAATGTGGACATCGGAGTGATCAAATACATTATTTCATAACTTGTCAAAAGGAGCCTTTTTATTCCAGTGTGGCTCCTGATACTACTGTGCGTGTTCACCCATGATTTTAATGTAAAATATTGAAGATAAAGAATTAACGATACTAATTTTAATACACATATACACACACACACACACACACACAAAAATTGTGTGCTTGTTACTCACCTTAATACATCTTTCTTTTTTTCCTCTAAGGGTTTTTTTTTTACCTGACAGAGGCTCACAAACACATGGAAACACGTATATTTAGAGTGGAAATAAGAAAAAAATGGACCAAAAACGAAAGTCACCCTGATTATCCTGCCTTGGATCAGTTCTCCAAGCCTTGCTGTGTGTTCCATTGTGGAAGTATTGTTGTGCACTGCCATGTGTTGCAGTCTTGTTCAGCTTGCTCGGCCTCGCTGTCTACTTCTGCTGTATCACTGCTCTCGTCTCTTCTGTTTTGAGGAAACCAGTAAAATGAAAAAAAAAACCTTTTAGCAGCACTTTATTACAAATATCTTCTTATTTTCTCGGAAACAACTCAAATCTCTGTTCCAGAGGAGAGCGGCTGATGGACCTGATGTCTGTTGACATGGTATTTTGTCATATTTTTATTTTTTTTAATGAAGTGCTCCTCTAAATTCAGGCCACTTGTTGGCACGATGTGTCATCAAATCAGGACTTTAATCCAAATCATTTGTCATTGCGACCATTCCATAAGATATTCGCACAATGTTGCTGTCCACTAAAATGCATGTATCTGCACATTTTGTCAAAAAACATTTTGGGGAAAATCCTCAACGTAATCAAACTTTTAATGCCATGCTCAGCCCACATTAGATGGCACAGGCAAAAAAAAAAAAAAATACTATTTGCAATTTAGTGTTGCCTCTACTGTCAAGAATACCAGCTAGTGATTGGAACCCATTTGGGCAAATTTCCTTGTTGCAGTTTACCCATGTCCAGAAATTTGTGCAAAATGTCCAAAAGGGCTGGCTGGCTTCATGGCTCCTTGAGACTTTTTAATGCAGCCTGTTTTGCTAGACATGTACACCCACTATCGTTTGGATGGACAAAACCGGTCTTGAAGGTTGAGATTTTTTTTTCTTTTCAGACTACACTACTGGTGTAGGAAGAGCTACTTCAAGCCAAAATGTCTTATTTCTTGTTCATTTTTAGGCACGGTCCGTGAGACTTTTTAATGCATTCTGTTATGATAGACAGTCCACCCAATTTTGCATCACTCAGTGAAACAGGTGTCCGTGGCCGATATTTTTTCATCTTTCCCAGGGGTAATTTCTGAGGAAAAAATGGCTACTTGTAAGAAAAATAGCCAACTTCCAATTTCTTTTCAGGAATCTGTCCTTGGGACTTTTTTGTGCACTTTGTTGTGGATTGAACTGTCCACCAAAGTTCGAGTCGATTGGCGAAACCGGTGGTGAGAGTGGATTCTATTTATATTTTTCACCTGACGTCGGAGGCGCTACTGAGTGTGAAATGGCTGCTACAAACCAAAATGGCCAACAATTTTTATTTATTTTTTTCCTATTCCAGACACACGTCCATGAGGCTTTTTCACTTGTCCGTACAAAGTTCATATGGTGTTGTGGGGTTATTTTTTTCCAACTTTCCTGGGGGGTGCTACTGAGAGACAAATGAATTGCTTCAAGCCAAATGGGTGGAATTCATGTTCAGTTTCTGGTCCTTGAGACTTGTTTTTTTGCATTGTGTTATAGACCCAACCGCCGAATTTCAGGTCAATCTGTCATACTAGAGATACTTTCTCGGGGGGGTCACAGAATAATTTTTTTTTCTCCCCCTCCTCCCCTGGACCCCCTAAAATACATACTTTTCGCCAGGATGCACACCCATAAAAAAAAAAAAAACAAATAAATAAATGTGGAGTTACCTGTTTATTTCTTTATTGGACAGCGACTGTATTTTGAATGTCTTTTTTTTTGTGCCAGCCAAACTGTGCCTTTCAAGTGACCTTTAAGTGCACTCCATTTGCACACAAAAAACATGGAATTCTGTTATACTGATACACACAAGCCTTTTAAACATCATCTTGTAAATAAAACACCACAGCCACTTGCAAAAAAACATTTTCACACCATTAGAAGGATTTGTATTCTTAGATTGTTACTGCAAAGAGGAGTCTACTTTTGAAAAATGTATTTTAGCCTCCAAACACTTTTATTCAATCATCAGATGTTACATGTCGAAGGAGTGAAAAACAGTGCTCTCATTTTAGGGCGCCAAAAAAAAAACATTGTAGTGTTTTAATAATTAAAAAAAACTAAATAAACGTGTGTGTTGTTTTTTTGTTTTTATTTTGTTTGGGAAGGTGAACCTCATTTGTGTTGAGGCAAAAACGGATGATGTCCTGATTGTCAAAATTGGCTCAATAAAAGAAATGATGCAGACACAATGTGGGTGGTGTGTGTGTGTGTGTGTGTGTGTGTGTGTGTGTGTGTGTGCGCGTGCGCGCACGCACGCACGTGTGTGCTTACCTCGTAATTGGCTCACAACCAGTCAGGGTATACCCTGTCTCTCACCCAAAGGTGTGACCCTTCGAGCAATGATGTAGCCAATGGGTTGATGGATTTTTCTTAAGGTAAAATTGATTCAAAATCCATGTAGCAATCGATGCGACTGGTATGGTTGGACACCACAGCAAACACAGTGTAAAATAAATAACATGAAGTCTTTCGTCCAATTAAAGTGCAAACAAAAGTCGCTACTGATAAGTAGGCACAGTATGTTCACACAAATTAAGACTGGTAACCAAGGACAGCTCCAGGATTTTTTTTTCCTCTACCAGGGCTAAAGGGTGGGGGCTTGACGGATACAAAGTGGTTCAGAGGAAATAATTTATAAATAAATTTGTGAATAACCCGTTCAGAGTGTGCCCCACCTGTCTGAAGAAAGCTGGAATACACTCCAGCACATCCGCGACACTCGTGAGGAGAAAGCAGTTCAGATAACGGATGGAGGAAATAAAATGCTGGAGGAGCTTCACTGAGGCGACACAGATTTCTGACGTGGCTAAAGCCCCTCCATAAAGCTCTACGAACACGTTGGGAGAAGAGCAATCACCAAATGGTTACTAAACCAGGAATGAGAAGAGCAAGGAGGAAACAAAGGACAAAAGAGATCACTCGGGGGCAGTGTCCTATATGCGTACATGATTGACTACAGTGCAGCAAAGATAAAGGAACAATCTGGCTTCTTCCTGGTTTGACCACAGAACTTGAGACAGGAGCTCATTAAAATAGCACCAAAGTGAGTGCCTCCTTGCTCAAATTTCACTGTGGCTGAGAGAAAACAGATAAAAAAAAAAAAAGAGGGAAGAGCCAAATGACAGAAGAAACAAAACATAAGCCTGAATGAAGAAAGGTCATGACAAAAAAAAATGTGTGACTTGTTTCTGTCTACCAACAAGCCACCTTCAAATGTCCTCGAATCCATGCTAATGACACGTCCAGCAAGCCAGCCAATTTCCCCGCTGCCATTTCTGGCCAGTTGCCCTCGCCGAAGCCGGTGTCCAGGAAAACAAGTTTAAACATTAACCCTTATGATCACCTTGAGCCAGATGAAATCATGGCTTATTATTATTACGCTTCTGCCTATTCTTGGCCCCTCGCTGGGGTAGCATATAAAAAATACTCATCGTACTTGCGAACTTTAACCTTTGGAGAGAAAACGCTTGGTGGGTTCCTGCTGATTTAAAAGCCTTCTCAAGGTCGCTGTGAACGACCGCTTGCACTAATGAGATACAGTGCAGTATTTGCAATGCGACCTCCAGGGTGGTTCCAAATCCCCTACTACTCCTGGATGGATCAAGAGGATCACCAGTTCAAACGCTTTCCTTCTCCACCCCCTGCTGTTCAATATTTTTTTTATTTTATTAAGGGAACAGTAGGGGGTGGCGGATGCTCAGCAGGAGAGTGGAAAAGCATCAAAACATACACACCCCCAGGGTACACCAGGTTGGCCGATGCCTCTTTAAAAAAAAAAAAAAAAAAAAAGGAAATGGAAAAAACAAAACATCTGCAATTGCCTCTTGGATTGCCACGGATTACGTGCTGTGTAATTGTCACCACCGTGTCCTCTGCTTGATTGCTTGCTCTATTTCCAAACTGTAAAACTGACTTTGGTGCAAACTATAAATAAAGAGAATGTCACTTCAGAGGTTCTGACTTTGAATCTTGAATCTCTTCACATTCCGCCCCTTTCAAAATTCTAGTCCTGCAGTCCCTTATTTATCACCAGGGTCACAATCGAGAGCCCCCTGCGACAGCTGAAAATCAGTGAAGTAGCATCCAAATGTTTGCTATTCTTCCTACAAAGAGTGGAGCCGTGGCCCCCTGCTCTTCCCAATCGTTCAGTTAAGTCTTGTCACCCTGCAGTTGATTAAAACCAACACCTTTCCATCTTCTATTTGAGGAAAACACCATTTTTGTCACGTTCTTGTGTTTCCAGCAGATGGCAGACTGGAGCCAATCCTCCAGTGTGCACACCTGCTGCCAATGGTGTCATCATGGAGCCATGGATTTAAGGACTGACAAACTGTCATCAGTTTGTCGGATTATTGTTGAACTAATGTTCAAATTCTCATTTTCTAGACCTCTCGCCCTCAAAGTTCTCGTTCTTGTGGTTTTATGTTTTTCGAAAGGACTGTACAGCCTTACTTTCATTATTTGATCTTGCTTTTGTTTTGTCGAGTGAATTGGACTCGCCGTTTCGTTTGGTATTCTCGGATTACTTACTTCCTTGGCTTTGCAAGTCCATTTTGGAAATGTATTTTCTTTCCGTGGTTACTTTTGACCAGCGATTTCTGTTTCTACTTTGTCGGTGTGTTTTTAGTGAATACATATTTTTTGTTATGGAGTTTTGTCAGGTGTCTATGATTCAAGGATCCTAAAACCATTATTTAATTAGTTGCGAACCTGATAATTTTGTACAGTTATTGTATTGCATTTAAAAGCCACAAACTGAGGTAAGTCTCCAATGCTGAACCTGCCACACACACACACACACACACACACAAAATCTGGACGAGAGCCACTTCCTGCCTTCCAGCAAGACTGCTTGACCCCAATTTGCTGCAGGCAGAAATGGTGTGGGGGCTGCAGGGTGGGGGTGGTAAATGAGGGGGAGAAGTTTGTCTTTTTAGTTGTGGCCAGGAGCTGCAGACTGCGCTTTCACAAGAGAGTGAACATCAAGCAGGTTGGACTGCGACAAGCCCAAAGAAAGCCTCTCCAGAGAGAGCGGACTGTCAGTTTGAGGGACAGCGTGAAAAATGGCAAATGGGAGCCGCGGCCAAAAAGCAACAAATGTTGACGACGACGTCAGCTCTGTGATGTACTGGCCTCGGGGTCAGTGTCGTGAACCTGATGCCTTTCATGGTTTTTTTTCTCTTTCCAATATGTTTTATATACAGTGGATATAAAAGCGTCAACACAGCGCTGTTCAAAATAAGGTTTTGGTCACACAAAAACGAGGATAAATCATTGAAAACTGTTTTTTCCATCATTCATTTAATCTCTAACCTGTGCAACTCAACGGAATCATTTTTCTGTCATTCTTTTGAGGAGAAGTAAAAACGCGACAAAGCATGTCTGCACACCCACATATACATCACATAAAAAGCCACGCTGAATGTCAGCTCCATTTAAAGTGCCTCTGATTAAGCCCTGATAATGTTCAGCTGTTCAAGTCGGCTTTTCCTGAGATGTGCAGAATATGTAGAGATTTTTTTGCTTTGCAGCAGAAGTCCGAAGAATTTAGTGAACACTGGCACGTACTTCGAACTGTTCATAATTCCTTCAACTTTGAAGAAAAACAGCTCCAAAGCATTATGCCGATTTGCTGTCTCATGATTTGCAGTCACAGCTTGAAAAGAAATGAGTTTACTTTTACTTTGTTTTAAATTAATTTTACATTTATATTCAGATTAACTCTGAATGCCGTTTTTTTATAATTACTAAGAATTTACAAATTTTAATTTCTGTTTTTTTCAGTCACTGTGAAAGAAGGAAGGCACATTTTCAAATAAGTTATCAACAATATGCTTGCCTTAAAATTTAAGGCAAGCTTTTAAGGCGTAAATGACACTTCCTGTGGTTCACTTATTTAAGCTTTTTAAATGAACAGTGTATCAAACAGAGCTATTTTTCCTCAATTAAATATTAATAACAATAATATCTATCCATCCATTTTCCGATCCGCTTTATCCTCACAAGGGTCTCGGGAGGGCGGGGGGGATGCTGGAGCCTATCCCAGCCGTCTTCGGGCAGGAGGCGGGGGGCACCCTGAACCAGTTGCCAGCCAATCGCAGATAACAATAATAATATTAATAATAATAAATACAATTGATAAAGGTTTCCAAATATAAATAAAGATTAAGATTCTAACACATCCAGCAATAATTACAGCGTTTTGAATGCAGTTATTGCGATACAGTGCAATTTTTCTCTGCAAATTTATTTTGTGCCTTCCGGCCAGTGAATCTCAGTAAAATTAATATGCTCGGATGCACCTGTGTTTCCCTCCTGCAAGCGTGAGATTCCTTGGCTGAGGTCAGGACATATGAAAAAAACAACAGCAATCATGGGACGAGACCGCTCCCTGCAGCTCCAAGAACATGTTTGGAATGCATGTTTTTGTAGTCAATGTGTTCACAAGTCGCCCTGCAATTGGCTGGCAACAGGTTCAGGGTGTCCCCCGCCTTCTGCCCGAAGACAGCTGGAATAGACTCCAGCACCCCCCGCGACCATTGTGAGGATAAAGCGGATCGGGAAATGAATGGATGTTCACAAGTATGATTCCAATAGAGGATACATTTAGGTTACAGAGTGGACCGCCGAACATTATTTTTTCAGGGGAAAAAAAAATCACATCTTTCTTTCCTAATGCATGTCAATGGCCGTCAATCACATGCATATTTATTCACTATGTCCTTCGCCAAGAGTGGTGCGGCACTGTATAGGTTTATGGTGTAATATCACCATTTAGCACTAGAGGGCAGACATGGCCTAGTTGTGCTTAGTGTGCTTACTCGTGCACTGCCCGATCCCTGTACCATTTATTATGAAATAAAAAAAATAATAATACATTGTAGAAAGAGTTGGTTCTCGAGTTTTCCTGCGTACCCAACAAGAGTGAACTTCAGCACCAAGTAAATGTTTTGTGTGCAGTTAACTTGCAAAAGAACCACACCCAGACCAAGTTTCTTCACCCATGACATGATAAGCAAGATCGCCAAGATTGCCAAGGTCAAGAGCCACTTTCAAGCATAGGCCAGACTACACTGTCTGAATCATGCAGAAGTACAATCACTCAAGTGTACACTCTTAAGATGTTTTGACTAATTATATTCATACCAGTTATTTTAAAAAACAAAAAGAAGAAATGTACATTCCGATTTGCGAATAGACCGATCTCATTGACTGGACTGAATTTTATGCAAGATTGCTGATCGACTGATGTCTTAATGTGTCTGATCTATCAATGATGTCACTAATCAGATCTGCGTAATAAGACATAAGAGCAAACGCAACCTCGTTCATTCTGGGGTTGTTCTGCCATTTTGTCTATGTGAGTCCGAAAGCTCATTTATTTTTAGCCTTGTCACATGTCGTGTAAGCAAAAAGCCTTTGGGTTAAACTGTGCTTTCTGCTAGACTTGCACTCGGCATTAAAATAATTCTTTTTGTAAGATGGATTCACATTTGTGAACTTGCTAGAAGTATGGTGTTGATGCTTTATGATCCTGTCTTTTATTGATCAGGTTTTATCCTCTTGACTTTTTTTGAAGCACATTTTTCACTTTTTTTTGAGTCAAGTTGCGCTTTTAGATACTCACCGACATTAAAGATAAAACTGAACTTCATTATAACTTATTGCATGCAGCACTTAATTGTAAATGATGTAAAATTTCATACTTCACATATCACAATTGAATTTTCAATATTGTAGCCACCTCATAATCATTTTAAGATATACCTTAATGTTCCTTATATTTCAAAATATGGGTTGGGACACTCAGTTTATGATTGCATATAACTTAGAAGGGTCATCGTGTGGCGTATTCTACTTGTTGGCGGTCATTCAGAAAATGGTGTCATAAAACAAGGCTGAGGGGTGGAAAAAAATTGAAGCCCAATATTTCTGTATTATTTGACCCCTGAACAAACCCCCCCCCCCAAATTGTCCAGTCAATTTTGGCAAGAACAACAATTTTAGGAATATTTCTGGCATATTACAACTGACATAATGAAAATGTACTTTTACTTGGGGAATGTAGTGGAGTACAGTAAAAGCAAAAGTTGTCAGATATATAAATAATGACATCATAGAATACGTATGCACGAGAATTATACCTAAATATTTCTACTCTGTTTCATTACAAGAGTGGCTGCTCGGCCGTTTTCTCGAGTGTTTCAGAGTCCTTCTTGACTCTTAAGTCAACTGCGGCTGGCTCCTTTGGGATGGCAGCTGCTGGGCTGGAGGATGTGAATGCGGGCACGCTGTGGCAGAGACGTTTAATTATTCATGTTACAACCCTGCTCTGGAGAGCATCCAGCAGCCAGATCGCCAGAGAGCTGCACAAAGGATGCCTCTATTGATCACCAACATGTGCAGAAAATGGAACCATGACAATATCATGAGAGATGGAGTGCAACATGATGAGCATCAGGACTGCATTTGTGTTCCTCCATTTTTTAATTTTTCAGTATTTTAGCGCTTTTTTTTAATGAGATGTTGCTTCCCTTTGACAAATTTGCTTCTCCCATTTTAATTGAAGGCTCTCAGATTATTTACCCTTTTCCTGTGTTCTATTCATTGCATTTACTTTTGAAATGTTTTAATACCTGTGTGGCACGAAACTTGGTTACTCACCATGATTGTTGCGCAAACAAATCATTTTATGTAGGATGTTTTTGACGCACACAAACTTAAATTGCTTCCTCAAGGTCACCTGTGAGCTAATATTATATGTCATAAGTAGTTAAACAAGATACATTAATTAAAGCATGAGAAAAAAACCTATTTCTTCAATTCAACAAAGGAATCGTTTTCCCGAAGTGAGATCCTGACGAGCGACAAACCCGGAAGTGTGACGTCCCTTTAAGACAACAATAGCGGAGCTCTTGATGGAAAGTGTTTTAAACATATTTGAGGGGCTTCAGGTGTTTGAAGAGTTGGAGGAGGTAGTTGGCAATAATTATGTTGGTCCATACACGTATGAACCAGATGCTCAGGTTGCGTAAAATGTTGTGCCTGATGGAGTGGGGACGAGACCCATCGGGATTGGAAGAACGGTCAGCTATATAGGCTGCGCTTATTAGCCTGGCGTTCTGGTTTGCAATTCAATGCTGTGCCATGCTGTAAATTGCGCACAATGGAATTACGGTACCTATTTGGTCCATGTATTCCCGCTAGCACTGAAAGCACATGTTGTAGTAGGTTGGTGTATGGCTTGCCATAGTTGGTGTCCTACATTGTCATTGCTATGGTAGCTCTGTTGCTTTGTCAGCCACACCGCGCATTGTATCGGCAGAATTACAGAGGATTACATCCATGCACTCATTGATTTAAAATGTGTTCGTACAGGATTACATCCATGTCCTCGTACAATACTTTGAATCGAATGTTTTCATAAACAACAGCCAGAGTTATTCAGTGATTATCACACCTACCTTTTTTGCAAATCCGGTCTCCTTAAGTGCATGGAACAAAGAATGCTCGTCAACACCGGCGTGAAATTCATTCGCTTTGCGAGAATAAAACTGTATTTGCGTTCATTTCATCACATTCTCATATTGGTGAAATCAAAACTAGTGTGCAACTAGCCTCTCGCCCTGCCTCACCCCCTGACATCTGAATTTCTCCTGTTGTTTCACCTCGGTGGCGACAAGTAAAGTGAGACACTGTTGCTGTGAGCACTTTGCATGAATCAATTTGGCTATGTCCTGAGGAGAACCACTTTCTTGGAGATGTCGACCTGTGGTGATTCATCATTTCATTAAATGGAATTTCTTGCTGTTCAAACCAAGATTGGATGATTGGATGTATGTCCATTGCATCATATAATGTGACAATCGTTGCCCACTCAACTTCCACTGCAGTTGAGTCCAGTCATCCCGGAAGGAGAATCTCTTTTTAAGGTTTATTCATCCACCCCCAATGCCCTCACCCACCTCAAAAGAAAGTTTTCTGTGAGTCGATTTTTTTTTTTGCCTAAATAAATAAACTCGACTTCACTTTAATTAAAAAAGACAGATTGATCCATTTCCTGTCTATTTTTATTTGCATATCGGCTAACTCTGTCAAACAACTCAAAAAATGACTCGCCTAATTAATGGCCACTTACCATGGGCACCTCCCTGACAGCGTGTCTTAGAACGTGACCCCGCCACCACCCTTGGTCAAAAAAGAAGGCTCTAAATTTGTCTGACCTCGGAACACGGGTGGAGAAAATGGATCAGCTGGCGCTTGAGGGAACACTTGTTCCTTCCAAATGTCAAGTTTGCTTTGTGGCCGCTGCACGCACGCACGCGCACACACACACACGCACACACACACACACACACACACACACACACACACACACACACACACACACACACACACACACACACACACACACACACACATTCCAGCTCTGTATGTCCACCAGCGAGCTGAGCACCAAGGAGAGCTAATTACAATTAGCTCCTCATCTGCATTCAGGGAAGGCCCCCCCTTGAGAGAATGGGGCCCACATCTGTGCCTGGTTAGTGAACAGACAACACCGCTCGCTAAGCGTGAGACTTTTCCATGGGTGATGCATTGGACTTGCTCTGACTCTTTTGCTCAAGGTTGACCAGACGAGGTCGGGCCTGAATGTCTGCAGCTGTCACCGCTGATGTGTCACGTCACAATTAATTTCTCAGAAATAGAACAAGAAAGACTGGCGTGTGTTCATGGGGGGGGGTCATTCTTAAAGTTTTCTCTTGAAGTGCAGCAGGTCAATAAAACACAACTTACGTTTGCTTCTCTTGGTGGTTTAATCCTCCAGCCACATTTCTGAAATGATATGAAGAAAAGTTTTTGTTGCAAGGCAGGGTTTCAAAGTGCAAGTCTTTTACTGATTTGCTTGTATGGGAAAAGCTGTATTTTTTTTGTTGTTGCGAGGCAGCAGTGCAATCACTTGTGCCCGACATCAGCGATTAAAAAAAAAGTACAAAAAACAAAAAAATATTGTTGTCTAGAATTATGATGATCAAATTCACTATTGTTTCATTAGCATTGATAAAAATCATTAATTTTTTTCAGCAAATTGAGACACCAGTGTGTTTCTGTGCCTAAAAAAGGATAAACCTGACTGAATGAGTAGTTTCCAAGCTTTAATTTCGTTCATGTTTTTCTTCCTTGTCGCTATTCATGTGTGGCTTGCCAATTCGTTTTATTTAATTTGCTTTTAAATCCTCTGTCTCTGAAAAGCTGTCACTTCAATTTGTCACAGATGCAAGCATATCTCACATACATTATTCTCCTCAATTATTTTTCTCTTTTTTCTCATCAAAAATGTCAAGCAGTGTGATGTAGCGGGCGGGAAAATTATGATGACGATGATCAAAATGACAGCTGCCTTTTTTCGGACGTGGCGACCCTGGCAAATGAGACTTTTCTGTCTACAAGGTCTTGATCGCACTGTCGGTATGTGCTTATAAAGTTATTTGAAACCAGGCCTATGTTTAGGGGTCCACCGTCCCAAAAATAAACACAAACGTTTGTAATATTTGTCTCTTCTGTTAAGACAAATAGCACCTTATAATATTGTACTTCATAAAACATACAGTAAGTATAACATTCAATGGAACTTAAGGAATTAAACTTTGTGCTACATTGTGTGCTTCACCTCTGGTGTACACGTCTAGGTCACCTGGGGGCAGTATAATGGATCCATCAATCCATCCATCCATCCATCCATGATCAGAACGACTTTCTCCTCACGAGGGTCGTGGGCATGCTGGAGCCTATCCCAGCTGTCTTTGGGCAGCAGGTGGGGGACACCGGCCTGAACTGGTTGCCAGCCAATCGCAGGGCACACAGAGACAAACAAACACACATGCTCTCATTCAAACCGAGGGACATTTTTTGAGCGTTCTCTTCACCTGTCATGCAGGTTTTTGGAGTGTGGGAGGAAACCGCAGTACCTGGAGAAAACACACGCAGGCATGGGAAGAACAGAAAGTCCAGAGCCCATATTAGAACCCTGGAACTCTGTACTGTGAGACAGACGTGTTCACCAGTGAGCCACCCACCGTGCCATACACGGTGTAACAAATTATTTCTCTGTAAGTCGCTGTAATATTAGTCATTCTTTGCAAACGATGTATAATATATGCCTGTGAGTGTTGTTGTATTATCTGTCTACATGTGTTGCTCCACCATTTGGATTTGAATATATGTTGCCCCAAGTGTAAAATAAGAACAAAAAAATAAACTAGTTACAGTAATACATAAGGCAAATCTTTTTGCATTAATGAGTTTATTTTCTTCTCTCTGACCTGAGCAGACCTTTAAAGGGGAAGTCAACCCCAAAATGTTCTTTACAATAACACATTCCCTGCAGCCAAACTTGTCTAAACATGGATTTTCTGGTGAATATTGCATTTATGGAAGATGAATTAAGCAGCAAAATCAAACCATTTTTATCCATCTGGCCATTTTGACACTTGCTGTCGACTAAAAATGACATCACAGTTGCTCAGGGCGGAGGTAACGGCCAATCAGACCTCACCTGTTTTTGAGTATGGTCATGTTTGTAAGCTGAGCTATAATCAAAATGCCAAGTTTAAACTCTGGGCACAAGAAAATTTGGGGGTGGACTTCCCCTTTAATAGCATTCCATATCCATTTTCCTTTGTGCTTGGCTCATTAGGTTCGCAAATAAATTGGAGCCTATCTCAGCTGACACTGAGAAACAAGCGGGGTGAATTGGTCACCATCCAATCACAGTCATTTAATAGTTTTTTTTTCTTTCCTCAAAAATAGATTGCTGTCCGTTTTGCTTTGATTCAACCGCTGCTCTTTGTTGAGCAGAATCATTTTCCTTCTCCTGTGTGTGGCCCCTGTGGGACCGCTCCTTTTTGTTCTGCTTTTCATTCATCCATGTGCCTTCGCTGGAATCAAACATGAACACTCATCTGCTCAGGTGGCCTATTGTTATGTTCCTATTATTGCTGCTGTCCCATGAGGAGGCTGGAGTCTTGGAAGGAAGTCCGCTGACTGGCTGAGTATTTGGGCTGTGATGGGAAATCAGAATGCAGATGTGCAAAGACAGATGTAACACAAATTACATTCACACACACACGCGCACACACACACGTACGTGTAGTGATCAACTGGCTCACCTCTGCCATTAAGAATCAAGACGATGTGTAATATGTTAACATGTGATTTTGTCTATATTGTATATATCAGAAGTAGACACATTCTATTTGTAAACACATATTGAAATTGTTTTGCTCTGTTTTTGTTTTCAGCACCAACTGGAGTGGAAGGCGTGCCTCTTCAGTGGTGCACCTATTTCTCATTCCCCATCAAGCCTTACCTAGCAATTAAGGACTGTCAAGTTTCCAAGTCACTTGTAGAGATGAGCTGCAAGGCAGCTGAAGTACTAGCTGGTTGCACAGAAGATGATGTTGGAGTTTTATGTGAAGGCATAAACTGGTTTGTGACTAAACCAGGATGCCGGGGGGAGTTGAAGAGGATGAGGATGTTGTAGAGTCGGAGAAGGAAGTGTCGTTTAAAGGTAGGTGAGCGCGTGGGCAAGTAACAGAATTGCAGTGAGAGACATAATGGGATTCAAAATGCTAAAAGTAGCCTGGAAAGAAATAATTCGGATGAGGATAGGGTAGTAGTGAGAAGGAAGAAGATTAGGGAGGAAGACACGGCTTGAATCATTTACATTTAGAAAGGAAGATGAAGACATAACATTTAGCCCAGTGGTGTTGACTAATGAAATACAAAAGAAAGTAGATGTTGATACAGTGAACGTACGGAGGGATGGAAACTTGTTAATAAATTGTAAAGATAAGGTGCAGAAAAACAAAGTCATGACCTTGGTTAAAATCCATCCATCCATCCATTTTCTGATCCGCTTATCCTCACAAGGGTCGCGGGGCATGCTGGAGCCCATCCCAGCTGTCTTCGTGCAGTAGGCGGGGGACACCTTGAACCGGTTGCCAGCCAATTGCAGGGCAAACAGAGACGAACAACCATTCGCGCTAAAACTCACACCTAGGGAACATTTAGAGTGTTCTATTAACCTGCATGTTTTTGGAATGCGGGAGGAAACCGGAGTACCCGGTGAAAACCCACACAGGCATGGGGAGAACATATGAACTCCACACAGGGAGGCTGGAGCCGGAATCGAACCCTGCACCTCTGCACTGTGAGGTTGATGCGCTAACCACTGGACCCCCCCCCCCGCCCCCATAACTAGTTCATGTAAATGATTGGGCCAGCATGCACAAATACTCTCACACCGTTGTCACATTTAAAAACCTTTTTTCATCCACAAGTTTCTTTGCATTGCCTCAAGAAGAATGACCCCTCACTCACACCTAAATTTATGACCGCACTCACCAGTTCACATCTTTTGGCCAGCCTACAAAAATACACACTCATCTCTCCCCTGTTTTGTTTTTTTTGTTGTTTTTTTTTCCATCAGATCAATCACGGAGAGTGTGTGTGTTTTTGTGACAGTGCCTCTTTTCTTCTAGGCAATGGTGCAGCAGTAATACTGCAGCTTATTACACCAACGCCCAGATTAAACCGGTATTAACGATCCCGGGCTTTACGGACCAGCAGCCGTGCATCATCCAGCTGTGTGTCAAGAGAGAACAAAAAGCAAACAGAACCAGCCAACTGGACAGCAGAAATCCAGTGAAATATTGGAGATCGTTCACATTTTGTGTTACAGCTTTGTTCGGGGCGCTCGATTCACTTTTTGTTGCAGTGATTGACGTTTTCTTCTCCTGGTCCTTTCTTCTGAGCAATGGCACTCAAAGATAAAACGCCCACGGGGCTTTAAAACTGAAAAATGCTGATGGTAAAAAGTCATCTCAGCTCAGGTGGAACATGTTATTTTCACCAGCAGTGAAAATAGATTAAAAAAAACAAAAAAAAACATCTTGCCAGTAAGCACAGATTAAAAACTAGAGAAGATTTAATGTTAAAACCACAGTGGAACATCAACACCTGAACAATCATAGGAACTAATATATTCTACAGTGGACTACTTTCTTCCTTTCATAACTTTGCTGCTGTAAATTGGGAATTTATCCATTGTGAGACGAAGAAAGGTTTTCTTATTCTTATTCATTTCGGACTCAAATTTTGACCGTCATTAAACTGTAACTGTCCTTGCATTGTTTCATATATTGAATGTTCCGCTTATTTGTTGACCGTCTGACTCGCTGATGGTGTAGTGGTACACTTGCCTGACTTGTGTTCCTACTCAGTGACTGCATAAACGTGGGTGTGAATGGTTGTTCGTCTCTATATGTGCTTTACGACTGGCTGGCGACCAGCTCAGGGTGTAGTCTGCCTTCTGCCCGCAGTCAGCTGGGATGGGCTCCATCACCTTTTTGCTACCCTGGAAGGGATGGATGCTTGCC